TAACAATTCTAACACTAAGACTAAGCCTTACTGTAACCTCTTTTCCCCTGGCGTTCATGTTTTCATGTCCTGCCTGACTGGGAGAGGAAGCAAACAAAATAATCCCTAAAAAGTAGGGAAAACTCTTCTATACAGTAGATTCCTTGGTGTCGAAACTTAAAGTTTCGAAACAGCGGAATTTGCCCGGTGTCCGATAAAGCCCTAGGTGGTAAATTCACTGTGTCATCCTAGTCACAGTGTGTATATTGGCATTTGTCTTTTAAAATACCATGCTCTTAAGCCCATCCTGGTGACAGCGTTGAATCCATCTAAATACAAATTCATGAGTAGGCTTATGCTTTATACTTTTATCGAGAGCCGGTTTGCATTTACCTGATTTAATCTAAATGAACTCAATTTCATTTTGATGGCTAGAAAAAGGTGAGACAAATCATTAATGTTAAAAGTACCGCCAAATTCCGAAAATGTAAAGCTTAACAAATCACATTATCTTCTTTCTCTGATTCAGCCAGCCTATTAACATAAATTGTGTTTCAGTTAGTGAATTCAGTTATATCGCCTGCTTTGTATAGTTAATGACAATGTTTCAGTACTGATTGCACTAGAAGCGGACCACCGGCATTATTGATGAAATAAAGTAGTAATCCAAAGACATAAATGTAAAAATGCTTGTTGCTTTCCTAGCTTACAGCAACAATTCTTCAGCTTACACAGTCTAGATGATGTTAGCTGTCTGTGTAATCTAAGAGTGCTGTACCTTCACCATGATGACCTTTTTCCAGTAACTGATTTTGTGATGAGCTTAAGTCCTTACAGTCGATCTGTTGTCAGTAAACTTTTCTAATTTGCGGTCATAACATTCCACATTCCCGGCTTGGAAACATTTATTACAAAATATGTATTTTATTCACTTTTAACTGTCCAGTTTTATTAGGTTGTGGTTGAAAGTTTCCAAAAGGTAGCTTAAGTAGTGCACCTCATATATCCTTAGTCCCAGTGGTTATATGGGTTTGTGGGGTGGGGAAATAGGATAGAAGTGAAGGAAATTTGTAGAAGTAAGTGTATACTGGAAAAATGTACTTGAATTTGTTTCCCGCGGCCACGGGGAGTAAGTTGTCCCTCATGTAACTGGAAGATGTGTGTGTCGCCTCACGCCGCTGACTGTACTAATCTAACTCCAGAACGGTAAGTTGGACCGCAAATAAGTTGAAGTAGACGACCTTTTAACCATCATTACTATTATTTCAGCAATGTCAAGTAACCTGCATTTTGATGATCAGGTTTTTCTGCAATACGTTAAAGGATAATACAGATTACGAAAATCTACAGATATAAATCAACAACATTTTTAAATATAATGAAAGAAATGCACACAGCATCCGTTAATGTATATTCCACTGCCTATCCTAATTCCCCACCCATAAAACCCATATAACCACAGTTGCCGTTGGTCAGGATGCTGAGACTAAGGGTATATAAGATGCACTGCTTAAACTTCTGTTGCCAAAAGTTTCTCAAGAATGAACTTTCATCCTCAGCATATTAAAATTTCAGGGAAACTACTTTTTTAAGTTCACTTATTCCTGTAAGATACTCAAGCGTCTTTAATTAATTACTGTACACTGTCTGTCACTCTTCGAAATTACTGACGAAATGACCAATTAAATTGCAAATTACCACTCCGTTTGAAAATGTTTTGTCTTGCATTGACCATGGGACCCTGTTCCACCGGTAAACCCTGCTCGGCTTTAATCTGTTGACCTTCCCAGACACAAATTGCATTCAACTTTGATGGGCTCATGGTTCAAGCAAATGAGGACACTCATTGTATTTGTTCCCGCTTCATCTTGGTGTGAGGCCTTCAACCTAACAATGCATCTATTCTTGTGCAATTTTACACCCAACCTCTCTGTCAGTTGTCCACTTTATCGACTGTCATAATATCTGCACTTTTATTCTCCCTTCCAGCCCGGCCATGTCTGAACACAGCCGCGACTTCCTGTGTTCTTTCGTTTACGGCTACGACAACGTACCTCGTACGAATGTCTCATCAATGGAAGACCTAAGAGCCAGGCTGGTGCATGCGTTGGTCGTTTGCCAGACTCCAAAGGCTCTTATTATGCCCAACCGCATCGCTGCCTTTGTTCTTCGCCTGATTGGCCCTTGCTTCGGCTTGCCCACGTGTGGAGAGATCGACGCTTTTCTCAGCCATGACGTGAAGGAGAAGTTGCTAGATCCCAAACTGGAGGATATCTACGAGACGCCCTTTGGAGAAAAGTTCAAAGCTTATGCTGATGAAGTCACCGGTGGTACGTGGGTGTTAGCATCTTTATTCGGATTGCGCAGGGGGGAAGAGTGGAAGTTGCATTTACCATTTGTTAAGCATACCAGCAATTTATGCTGCAACATACTTTTCTTTAGTAAGATTTATCTAAATGTATATGTTGTATCTTCACGAGAAGCACTTTGTTGAAAAAAACACCAATCCCCCTTTATTATACCAATTAAATCTTGTTACTGGCCATTTAAGGATACTATTTAGAGGAGGAAGGTGCAATCGTTCGAACAAAGACTTTATTAACCTGAGGTTTCATATTCCCACTGAAACTTTCCATCCACAAAAAGCGCTGCTAAGAGTATTAGAGGCAAAAGGAACGTAGTATCTTCATTACTTAACAGTAGTCGCCTTAATTGGTTGGCCTCATATTTGATGGAGTGATCGTTCCTCGGCCCGTACCTTCTTCCTTAATAACCTCGAGGTCCTTCCCGTTGGTAAGTCAGCTTGTCACTTTTATATGGCTATTTGAATGCTGGCCACCAGATCATTCAAACGCCTAGCTGACACACGTACCCGAAGGCCTTCTCTTATGCTCAGACGACCAATTCCCTAACCCCGTGATCATCCCTTTAAAGTCCAAATAAAAAAGAAGGCTCGTGGCTTGCCGGAATTGTAGTTTGATTCATCTGAGCTTTCTAACTCTTACTAAAGTCCATTCTCAGAAATAACAGCGGCGAAAAAGAAACAAACAACCATTATAGTCGACAACCCAACACCGGTGGCACTAGTCTGGAGATGACTGTGCAGGGCTATGTATGCCGGCGCCAGATCGATAAATCGATAGATTGAGTTTCCATTGAAGATTTAGGCTTCCATCAATTCCCAGCTTGTCCTGCTGTTCGCGTGGGGAAAAAGGATGACATTATTGCTGGTAGCCGATATTTTTTCGATATATTTACTATTTTATTAATTTGCCTTGTTTGTATAAAAGGTGTTTCTCGGGTGGACCGGCTTCTGGACGGAGAACGTTCTCTAATGAGATGGAAAAAGCCCGAGGCACGCCAGCTGCTGCGACTTCCTCGTCCTTATCCCAAGAGTATGTATCCGGAACTTTTTTCACGGGCAAATGTTGACAAACTCATTAGCACGATGAGTGATGGTCGCTTTGGAGCCCGTGTAATTCATCTACTTGAGGTTGATTCTGACTTTAAAGTGCCCGGTGTAAAACCCTTTAAAAAGTGAGTGCGCCATCTGCAGTTTAAACTACCAAATTTGCTATTTAAAAACAACCCAATCTTGTTTGGTACTCATTTCGTTACTATTTTCACACGTATTTAATTCAGATAGGTTTCATCAGTGGCCAGGAATGACATTTGTGTGGCTAATTACAGCTGAGATGTGGAATCCCCTCACAACTTAACAGTGAGGCTGAGGCAGTAAGTACGCGCATGAAGAAGCGAACACAGGGTAAGACCAACGCCGTGGAGTTTATCCCCACAGCAGATAATCCTAATCCTCCCTATAATAGCGATGTAAACGCAAAGCTATCGGCAAAAATGGTTGCTGAGGCGGTTGCCACCTCGCTGAATCAGTCAGTAACGTTGCAGTATATATCCCTCCTTACCGATCATAGACCCCAACTGCCGTTGCGCAACCTTGGTATATTTGGAGTACTGATCAGATTATGTGCAATACGATTCCTTGAGCAGGTTAGTCAGTGCGGACTCAGTGACCAACGCCTATCTTGACATTGTTTGCCACGCGAGCAATATACCTGAGGTAATAGCGATCGAGGTAGATGCCACGAAAGTCTACCTCGTTGTGAACTAAATAATCTATAGGAAGCTGATGCTGGTCTGACCTTGTGGAATACGCAGTGGAACGCGTCACTTTTGACGCTTGAACTATCCGGCTTTTAAATGGGGATCGAGTAGTTCATTTGGTATAGGTTTCGCAAAAACCGATAAGAGAATGGCCATTTGGTGAAAGTATTTAACAACAGAAAACTGAAGTTTTTATTGACTTACGTTTTAACAGTATCTGGAAGGAGATGTATATTTTGATTGGAAAATGCCGTTTTTAGATTACTTTCCCAATACAACGCCAGAAAAGAGTTAGGTAGGTCGTCCTCAAGCTCTCAGCGGTTTTGCGCCAGGATGCCCTTTTCATGTGTGCACGTCTCCGTTTTAAATAAAAAATGTGTAATGGTTGTGACATTGATCAGGTCAATGGTAACTGCGTGTTAGGACTTGGCCCTTTTGTTTCCAGTCGAATGCATACTGGTGTTAAAACTATCCCCCCATCCCCCGTTCGGCTCTCTTACTTTTAAATCACCTTTCTCCCAAAATGCTTCTGTCCCCCCCCCACTGCATCAAGAGACAATTGTTTCAAGAGCTACTTGCTATTGCCCCCTCCCCCTCTGGTTCGATTACAACTGTCACCACCGCTGACCTCAAACGCTTGCAATTCGCGCCGCCTATCCGGCACAGAATTGCCTCTGTTCACGTCCGCCCTACGGTCTCTGTTTCTGTCGCCATGTCCTTATTCATTCCCTCGTTCTTTAATTCCTGCGCGGTGTGATGTCCTTATAAATTAGCAGCAACGCGTCTGTGTGCTCGTCTAAGCACCTAAAATAAACACACCGAGTTACCTTGACTGTCTCTCGACAAACAAAGAATATCCGAATTATCCGGACTGTCGTTTGACATAGCTTCTGACCTCGGGTGCGTCTATTTAGGTGACGAAACGTAGCACTGCAATACGAGAAGACCAACAGCATTTACAGTTATTCGAGTTATCCGATTGTCCTTCGACATAACTTCTGACCTCGGAAACACTGAAACAGTCATTATTTACAAAGGTCTTGACCAGTCTGCTAAAGAATATTCATTTTAACAACTAGGAGGGTGGACTGACATGCTACTTATCAGTCAACCACAACTTGGGTCAAGTAAAATTCGTGGACTCGTTGGTGAACGTTCACCGTGACTCAACGGAACTGACTCGTCCGGATCTGTCAGGGGGCTCATTCAGGAGCGCCGCCAGCAGTCGCACAGCGGCTATTAGTCTAGGCAGATAGCATTGCTGGCAAAGATTAGGGAGACTGAAATGACCATTTCTGACTCATTAGCCGTCATCAGGTAGCTATGGCTCAGAGGTTAGAGCGTAAGACATCTGATCACAAAGTCACAAGTTTGAGCCTCGGGTGGTACACAACTTGGGACTAGATATGACTGGCCTGCCAATAAGCCAGAACTGGTCATTCCAGTCTCCCTTGTCTTTG